GCGGCGGGGCGTGACCATGTCCTTGGCCTTCTCGGTTGGCAGGGCGGGGCGGCGGGGCGGGTGGCGTGGCGCTCCCGCCGCATGCGATCCCGGCGGCGGCGTTGGCAAAATGGTTCACTCGAGTCTCTTTGACGCTCGAGCCGCACGGGAGCGAGGGTCTGATCTGGGCGCGCTGGTGGAGCAGCTGGTGGCGCTCGGGGCCAGCAAAGAGGAGAGGGGGGGGGGCAGAGGAACTCCCGCGGGGAGCGGGGCGCCGCCGCCACTCCGCCGCTGCCGCGACCATCAGGTGGGCGAGGCGGCACTGCCGAGGAAATGGCACGGCACTGCCGCGCGGAAAAGTGGCGGATATACAGACACAGCCAGGCCGTCGTGTCGTGGCGGGGCGGGCGCCGCTGTCGTGAAGTGTCAAAGCAGACCATTACTTGTCTCCACAGGCCCGCCCAGTTCGAGGACCTGCCTGCCTACTAGGGCACATTGCAAAACACCTTTTTTCGATTTTGATATCGGCTCGGGTGGATAAATGTTCTATCCCATAACACTATTAACGGTGTAAAATCTCATTTCGATCGGATTGAATCTTCAGCCTCCACAGCGGCCTCAAAGTTTAGCATGGAGCTCTTATGGGAAAAAAGCCCCAAAACTGATTTTTTAAAAATGAGGGTTCCTGTTGAAAATTTCGCTGTTTTAATTAGTAGAAATGCAATCTACGCGTAAAAACGCTTCCGGAGACGTGCCACTTGTCATATGAGCACCCATCCTTTATGACCAATGTGCTGTCAAAAAGGCTGAATTTGCGTCAAAATTGCAATTTTTGGCCATACAAGCTGGGAACATATGAAATGAAAGGCCACGAGTGGCACATCTCCAGAAGCGTTTTTACGCGTAGATTGCATTTCTACTAATTAAAACAGCGAAATTTTCAACAGGAACCCTCATTTTTAAAAAAAATCAGTTTTGGGGCTTTTTTCCCATAAGAGCTACATGCTAAACTTTGAGGCCGCTGTGGAGGCTGAAGATTTTATCCGATCGAAATAATATTTCACACCGTTAATAGTGTTATGGGATAGAACATTTATCCACCCGAGCCGATATCAAAATCGAAAAAAGGTGTTTTTCAATGTGCCCTACTGCCTACCCGGGCGTTTCGCACGTCAGCGACGTCCGTGGGCTGACCGCTCAGCCGGTTATCAAAAGCACGCTCGAAATAAATTATTTGCGCGAATATATTTTTAAGGCTCTTTGTTGGAGTGAATAAAAGCACACCGTGTTCCTCGTTTCTTTTTCAAAGTCAGTCTTGTGGTTTTTGGTGGGGCTTGTGGACGGACGAAACGGCCAATGATTCAGACGAAGAGAATGGAATGGGGGGGGGGGAGGAACAGCGAGGAGGGCAGCAAACAGGAGCCGTACATTTGCAAACAGAACGGCCCGGGCAGAGTGTGGGGACGAGGCCTACGGGACCCGCGCCTCCAGGGTGGCAACACCTTTAATGAATAATCAACTCTTCCTCTGTCGCGGTTTGAACCCGGGCCCTCGCGGGTCATGTCGAGGGCGGAGGGGCGGCACGGCTTCCGCAGCTCGCAGTGTGTCCAGGCTATTAGCTGGCCGTCGTCGTCGTCGCGTGGGTCGTCATTTCGACCTACTTACATCGTTACCGCAACGACCCTCGCCCCTCGCCGTGCCCCTCGCCCCACCAGGCCACTGCGACCTGCGGAGAAGCTGAACAAAAGGCGAGGTGGGAGTGGGAGGAGCAAACGGGGGATACTGTGTGTGTGTGCCCTCTCGCAGGCCTATCGTTAGGAAAAAATAAGCGACTCGATATATCGAGGATAATGTCGCAACGAAATGGGATTCGGCCATGGATGGTGATGCTGGTCTGGACCCCCCCCCCCCCCCACATCATCATAGAGCTCGCCTGGGCCTGCGCCGCCGCTCGCGAGTATCGTCACGTTGTTGTCACTGCCGCCGCCGTTTAACCCCGCCGTTATTGTCTGCCGTAATGACACGTGCCGCCTGTGATCACCGATCCAGATCGGCTCGGCTCGGCGCCATTTGACCTCGTTAGGGAGCGTATCACAAACTAACACAGGGAGGGGAGAGAACTGAAATTGTGGCCGTGTTCATTCAGGCCGCGTCCACACTATACAACAAACAACATCGAATCCAATGGTACTCGTGCATGTGGGTTGGGTGCGAATGGTCACTATCAGTCAAATCTCAGCAGCTGCGAGCAGCTGTCGCGTAACTTCAGCTGTTGCGTACCTTCAGCTGTTTCAAGGATCATTTTACGCGTATGAGACTGTACGGAAAAGACCCTTTCATTTTCGCCTCGATTTTAGCAAAAGTTCAAAATTGTCGCCTTTAGTCTTTAATTTAACAGTATCACATTGTTGTTTTGTCTTTGTTTTGTTTTCTAACGGTCTGGTCTGTTGCAGCCTGGGCCGCCTGAGCAAGTCCACCTCCAGGCTGACGGGCACCACAGGCGGCACTACGCAGCACAACACGCTGCTGAACGGCGGCTCCGGGCGGCGCGTGGACTACGGCCCGCGCGGCGGCTCGCAGACGCTGCCCAGGAAGCTCCGCGACGACTCGACGGCGCGCGCCAAGAAACAGGTGGGTCTGGCGATGAGGTACCCGCGAGTGGGCCAGCCGCCGCGGGGGGCGCGCGGGCGTGGACGAGGTGGAGGAGACTGGGATGACGTACGCGAGCGATCGACGAGTCAGTAACCCTCCTTTCCCCACCCCGCCCCGCCCCGCCACCCCCGCACCCAGCTAGCGGCCGAGACGCGACGCGCGGCGCGGTGGGCGGTGTATGCAAATTTTATAACCGGGCCGCCATCTCCCCGTCCCGCCACGCCCCGCCGCCGCCAACCAATCCGCCACATCCACGGCATTCCGAGCCGAACACTTGGCGATCTTCCGCTAAGAAGAAAGTGCGCGACGGCGGAGCGGGGTGGGGTTTGGGGTTTGGGCGGGTGCGCTGCCCAGTCGGGCCCCAGCCTGCAGCCCGCGGTCACCGAAAATACGTGTTTTTGGCTGGAGGAAACGCCTCGCAAGTCCAGCTCATTGCATCCTTATTCTGCCGCCTTTATACTCCTACTCCCTCCTCCTCCTCATCGGTCTCAGTCGACCGCCTGCGGCGTATGCGGCCCCGCCGCGCCCCGGTGTCTTGCGGGACGGTATCGCCGCGTCTGCGGGCGCTCGGGGCGCTCCGACGCGGTGCCGCTGCCGGGGTGTGCCGCTCAAAGCTTCCCAGTGAGCTGCCTCCCTAACACGGTTGTCTGTTCCAGGTGTACGTGACCAAGAGCAACGCCGAGCGGACGGGCTCCTCGGCGAGGTCGTCGCCGCCGCAGGTCTGGGAGCACCGCTTCACCCGGGAGCGCTCCTCGCCGACGTCGCCACTGGCGTCGTCACCGCATACGGGCAGCCTCATCAATGTATCGTTCGTCAACCAGGGCCGCGACAGGGACTCGGGTAGGGAGTCGGTCACTTCGCCGACGCGCAACGGCGGCGTGTCCTGGGAGGGGCCCGCCAAGCCCGCGCGCACGTACCGCACCTCGCTGACGAGAAGCAAGAGCTTCAACGTGCAGGCCGCGCCCACGGCTTACCGGTCCAGTTCGCACCTGCACCGCCTGGAGGAGAGCCCGCCACCGCTCAAGAGCCCCAGCATCCTTGCCAGCATCAGCCGCAGCACCCGCGACCTCACGGACCTCGTCGACAAAGAGAACAGCCACGTCGAGGACCTGTACACAAAGCCGGCTGCCAGGCGTGAGCGCCGGCTGTTTTCCAGCACCAGCCACCTCAACGGCGTGAACGCCAACCAGGACCCCAAGAAGAAGGCCTTCATGCGTGGTCTGCTGGACCGCGCACCCGAGCTGTTTAAGACCCTGCACCCAGAGGAGGAGCCACGCCCCGAGCAGCGCGAGCGCGTCATCGACTACAGCAACTCGTTCCGCTCGAGCGCGGCTACGCCGCCCCCGCGCTCCCCCTTCAGGACAGACAGGGCCTCGGCCTCGCCCAGGGCCTCGCCCTCAGGTGGGAGAACCATCACGTTCAGTAGCTAGACACCCCGCCCCGCTACCCCGTCCCGCCCCACCCTGGCTCGGGCTCGGGGCCCTCGGTGATGGTTTGGTGGCTTGTTGAAAGACTTTCGTCCTCTCTGTGGCTGCCTCTCGTCGGCTCTGCTCAGCTCGTCTCAACAAGACTCTCCCTCTCCTGGTGTGTCCCGGTGGTGTGGTAGTGTGTTGGTGTGGTGGATGGTCATGGTCTGGTCTTTCCGCTCTGTCCTTCTGCTGCCCAGCCCTCTGAAGAGCGCGCCCCGCCCCGCCTCGCCCCGCCCCGCCACCCTCACGACATGTCATTTTGTCCGTGTTGCCAGCAGGTGCCAAGGGGGTGTCCTCGTACCGCAGGGACTCCAACAACTCCAGCGGTAGCGGCAACGGTGACTACTCGGAGACGGTGAGGATCACCTCCAAATGCAACGACCCCCTGCGCCCATCCGTCACCAACACTGTGCAGAGCTTCTCCCGGCGCACGGTGCCCTCCGGTGCGGGCTCCCGCCTTGGATTGGGCACGCGCGAGGTGGTGGAGACCAGTGACACATCCACGGTCACCAAGAGCAGCAACCGTTACAGGGGGGGCTCCGGTGACAGCGGTATCGAAACCAGCAGCAGTAGCATCCTCATGGACGCCAAGTACCCCCGGCACACGGCCAGCCTCGCGCGGCACAAGCACAACGGCGGCGTGGTCATTGAGGTCCGCAACACGCGGAAATAATAATAAATTTGATCTATTTCGTTATGTACTCGTCAACCAGTCAGAATAGGAGCACCCCTACTATTTAGGCTTCGATAACGTCGCTTGCGGGAACGAATCCTGTCACGGATTGTCTGGTGATGTCGATGTGGCTGCTCAGCGCGAATCCCCGGCGAAGGGAAACCCGACTCGCAGTGGGATTTGGAGTTAGTGAAGTGTCTACCTCTTACGAAAGGCATCAAGGGATTACCGTCCGGGTCCATGCAGTAGATAGAATAGTTTGCAGGCACTGCAAGTTAAGTTACAAGTATACGTATCTACTGGTGAAATGCGCGTAACGTAACTGAGTTCGCCATACATATAGCGTGCCATTCTTGGAATACGTCTTTGCTAAAAGCCGTCAACAATCTCAGCGCAATTTCTAGGGTACCCTGCCTTTTGTTTTGTCCCATGTTTCTACTGAACATTTTACTGTAAATAGCATAGCCCATGCATATGCCTGTGCCTGAAGTGCCAGCATGACATGTCTAAAGCTTTCTATGAAAGACATTTTTCTTACAGGAACTCTGTGAATATGTTAAGAAATTGTCAAGAACGTGTTGTCGTTTTAACTCCAGACAGGCGAGAGAACATTGTGAGTTACGAGCCTGCTGGATACTGACTTCAATTAAGTGGTAGGGTGATTTTTTGATTAAATGAAAATTTTGACCCACGACCAATGTGCGTTTTGTATACTTGATTACTCTAAAATGTGGAGATATTTTAATAAGGCGATAAGTAATTATCTAAAAGCAATATTGATTGATGGCTCTTGGGTCAAAATTAATGTAGGCTAGTCAAATGAGTCTCATAATCAACTTGCAATACA